CCACCAGCCACTCCTTGGAAGGAAGATGGGGCAATCTGCTTCCATAGTGATACTGCTTCGGAAACCCAAGGAGGGGTCACTATGAGTTGGGTCCGACTTGACATCACATAACAATAAAATGGTATGCATCCTATGACCCAGCAACTCTTTTTCTAGGTATGAACCTTAGAATGTGCATGATGATGCTTGTACAACGATGTTCATCACAACATGGTTCATAATAACCATTAACTGGAAATAATTGAAATTCCAACAATAGTAGAATGAATGGATCATTTTCTGTATATTAATGAAATGCACTGGGCAAATCTGCTGCCAAAGATCTCTTTCAAGTGCTGAAGAGCAAAGATGCCTCTTTGAAGACTAAGGTGCGCCTAATAAAAGCCATGGTATTTTCAATCATCTCATATGCATGTGAAAGCTGAATGAATAAGGAAGACCAAAGAAAATTTGATATTTTTGAGTTGAGGTGTTGGCAAGGAATACTGGAAGTCTCATGAAGACTGCCAGAAGAATGAACTAATCTGTCATAGATGAAGTACAGCTGAAATGCTCCTTGCAAGCACAAATGGCCAGAACTCGTTTCACCTACTTTGGTCATGTTATTAGAGGGGACCATTCCCTAGAAAAGGATATCATGCTTGGTAAAGTAGAGGGTCAGCAAAAAAGGGGGCCCTTAATGAGATGAATTGACACAGTGGCGTCAACGATATGTTTAGGTATAGCAAGGATTGTGAGGCTCATGCAGGACCAGGCTGTGTTTCCTTCTGTTGTACCCAGGCTTGCCTTGAGTCAGAGGTGACTTGATGGCACCTAACAACAACAAATGAAATGAACCAAGGAAATAAACAAATCAGGAATACACTCAACAACTTGGATGAATCTTTAAAACATAATGACTACATCAATTTTTTAAACTTCTGTTTGATGAAAGATAAGGAGCCCTGGTGGTGGAGTGGTTAAGAGCTTGACTGCTAACCAAAAGGTCAGCAGTTCAAAACCACCAGTTGCTCCAAGCAGAAAGATGCAGTAGTCTGCTTCTGTAAAGATTACAGCCTTGGAAACCCTATTGGGCAGTACTACTCCATCCTATGGAAGCTCTGGTAGCATAGTGCCTAAGGTACTTGACTGCTAATCAGAAGGCTGGCGGTTCAAACCCACGAACCACTCCTCAGAAGGAAGGTTAGGCAATCTACTTCCACAGTGATACTGCCTCAGCAACCCAAGCAGGGGTCATTATGAGTTGGGTTCGACTCAACGGCACATAACAACAACAACTCTATCCTATAGGGTCACTATGAGTTGGAATCAACTTGTCAGCATCAGGTTTTGTTCCCTTTTTGTTTTGTTTTATTTTGCTTTTTATAATGAAAGACATCATAAAAACAAAGTTGAAAGGCAAACCACAAACTAGGATAATTCGCAATAATGTTTAAGAGTACCAGCATATCGATAGGAGAAAGATAGCACAAAAGGAAAAGGGTCAAGTGTATGAAGAGATAATTCATAGAAGTTATTATAATGGTAAACATAAAAAGATGCTTGGTCTCAAAAAAAAAAAAATGTTGTCATGGAAATTTATTTAACTAATTAAGCAATTACCACTTTTGACCTATTGGCAAAAATTAATAAATCTAACAATATCAAGTGTTGGTGAAGATAAGAAGAAATGAACTTTAAGTAGCCATTACACCAAATAAAGAAAATACACACTTATCAATATACATTGAAATAAAAAAGCATAATGGTGTTTTCTTTTAACAACAACAACAAAAAAGCAAGCCACAGGTAAAGGAGTTAGGTAAAATTACATTTACACACACTTGCAAAATATTATCTTTCTATTAAAAATATTAAAGTAAAAAATGAACTGGAATGATAGATACATGCCACAAGCACTATAGTTCAGAGCACATGTGGTCAAAGAGCTTCAAGTTTAAAGGTTAAAGTGTTCTTTGTTAAAGGAACACATTTGCAACAAATATAATAACACATCAATGTGTAAGTACTACTGTATATTAGATTATTCTCTATTTTGTTCATTTTAAAAATTTTCTTAAAATTTCAAAATCATGTAAAATGTTAAAACTACCTACAAATATTTATCTACTAATTTCATTTTAGAAACTGTATCCTAAGGAAACATTTTGGAATACAGAAAAATATTTCCATTGTGACTTATAAATAATGAAAATGCTTTACAAATAGTAGTAGTTTTAAAATACTTTCTCTTACCCATTTTATGGATTATTATGGCAACTTAAAACTATATATTACCATAGAAAAATACTGATTTCAAATAAACAGTGGAATTCAAAATTTTAGAAATTATATGATCATTACAAAAAAAGAAAAAGAACATCTACTTAAAAATAGTAAAACTTAACATTTTACCCTTGGTTATAGAACTATGGATGCTTATGTTATTATTCAAAATTTTCTGTACTTTGTAAATTTTGTATGATGCATATGGGTTCCTTACATTAATAATAATGAAATTTTCTCCACCTTACTTTGATTTGTTACTTCTTGATTTACTTGAACTTTGACCATTCCACTTCAAGAGTTTTTCATAATGAGAAGAAGATATTACTCCAAATTTGTTAATAACAGGTGGTTTTTTAGAAGACATATTCACAGATCATAAACCTAGAGAGAAACATTAAATGATAATGTTAAAATGTGACTGCACCCACAATATCAAATGATGTATTTCATGCAAATTCATGACTTACAGGGGAAAGAGTGCTGTTGTAGATAAACTTAAGAACTGAAGAAATATAAAGAAGAATTTAAATTTAAACTGTCAGCCATGAGATACAAACCAAACTTTGCTTCTAAAACCCATGTTCTTCTGTTTCATTACCTGTATTCATTCATATAATATCTATTATTTATTATTTTTTAATAGTTTTATCAGCAAAACCACTGAAACAACAGTATGAGAATATACTTAAGAGCAAAGGCTATACAACCAGATTAACTGGGTTACATAAATGTTTTGTGCCTCAGTTTCTTCATCTGTAAAATGGGAATAGTGTCCCCTCATCGAGTTGCTGTGAAAAGCAGGTGGGATAATATATGTAAATTGCTTAGAATAGTGTTTGGCATATATGAAACTTAATATTAGTGCTTATGATCCTTATTAGATTACATTTTCTTTTTTTATTTTATTTTATTCTTTCCTTCCCATTTATTTATTTTATTGTGCTTTGCGTGCAAATTTACAGAACAAAATTTGTTTACATTCAACATTTCATGTACATTTGACTTCACTCACCAATTACCATCTCCAACCATAACACACTCTCCTCCCCTCCCTTCCTTCTGATTCTCCCCCTCCCTGTGCCCTTCTTAATTATGCATACCTGTCTGTCCAGGTTTCCCTCCATGTGAATGCTGCCCCTTTGGTGCCCCATGGTCGATTGCTCCAAAGGATGTCTCTCTGTAGAGTATGTAGGTGCATTTCCCTGCATTGGGTGTTCTGTGTGTAAGTCTTTCTACTGTTGGGCCAATCCTTGGGAGTGACTATCCCAGGCCTGAAGAGTAACCCAGGTCCACAGTCTTGGGGGCACCACCAGACTCCATCCAACCAGTAATTCTGGTCATTATTGTGTTTTTGAATTTTGTTCCACATTTTTCCTCCCACTATCTCCAGGATCTCCAGTTTTGATCCCTTCTCAAGTGGTTGGCATCTGTAGCTGGGCCCCATCTAGTTCTTCTGGTCTTGAGGTCCATTGTATCCTTGGACTAATTGTTTCCAAATGCCCTTGATTTTCTTCACTTTTCTTTGCTTCAGATGAGAGGAAAAAATTAGCTACATCTTAGATGGCCACTTGAAAGCTTTTAAGACCCCAGTTGCTACTCACCAAAGTAGGTGTGGTACAAGATTTTTTGTATTATGTAGTGCCGATGGAGCTTGGTGTCACCTAATACTATGGTCCTGAGTTGGAAGGCCCAGTTATTCTCTCTCCCAAGGTGTTTGGTTGTCTCTGAGGGATTACTCCAACTCTGTCTTCTGTTGCTTCTGTAATGATTGTGGTTATTTTGTGTCACTAATGGTTGTGGTTATTTTGTATCTATGCAAGATTATCTTCAGCTAAATGTATCATTGGTCTAGGGTACATTCCTGCTCACCAACCTCTATCTGATCTTCTCAGTTGTCTACGCATTTATCTGTAGCCTGGTGCTTGGTGCTACTGGTAATGCAGTATTGTGTATGTACTAGTATTTGCCTCTGTTTTTTATATCATATGTGCACGTTTCAGTGTCCTTCCTTTCTCTAATGTTACCATGCGGTCACAGACTCTTTCCATACTGTCCCTTACCAAAATCAACATGTGGCCCCCAACCAGTCTGAAATTCTCCTTCCCATCACCAGTAACCTATAACATGAGTTCCCTTCCCTTAGCAAACCCTTCTTTGACTTTTTACAGTAATAGACTCATTAATATTTGTCCTTCTAAGACCGACTTATTTCACTCAGCATAATGTCCTTCAGGTTCACCCATGTTGTGAGATGAGTTGTGTATTGTTCATTATTCTTAATGAAGCATAGTATTCCATTGTGTGAATGTACCATAATTTGGCATCCATTCATCTGTTGATGGGCATTTTTGTTGTTTCCATCTCTTTGCTATAGTGAATTGTGCTGCCATGAATATGAGTGTGCATATTTCTGTTGGTGTCCTGTCTCTCATCTCTGTAGGATATATTCCTGGTAATGGAACTGCTAGATCAAATGGTATTTCTGTTTTCAGTTTTTTAAGGAAACAGCATACCATTTTCCACAATGGTTGTACCATTTTGCAGTACCACCAGCAATGTGTGGGATTTTCCCAACCACAACAGCATTTGTTATTTTCGGTCCTGTTGAACTTTTCTGTTATTGCTGGGGTGAGATGATATCTCAACATTGTTTTGATTTGCATCTCTAAAAGGTTGAGCAATCTACTTCCGTAGTGGTAATGCCTTGGAAACCCAATGATGAGTCGCTATGAATCGGGTACAACTCAACAGCAAATAACAACAACAATGGCTAATGATCATGAACATTTCCTTATGTTTGTTGGCCACCAGTATAGCATCTTTATTGAAGTGTCTGTTCATGTCCCTTGCTCATTTTTGAATTGGACTGTTTGTCCTTTTGTTGTTGAGGTGTTGAAGTTTTCTATAAATTTTTGGAGA